TTTTTTGGAAATATTTTTTAAATATCTCCTACAAGTTTTAATTTAATAAAAGTCCACCATATTTACCTCACTATAGAAGGCTACTGTAGTTACCTGAAAATGATCAAAATATATTCCGCATTTAAAACAGTTTCAATTATTTTACATAATAGAAAATAAACCCAGAGGCAAAGTAACCTAACCTATATATTATAATTAATAAGAAACCATACAACGAATGTTCCAAGAATTTACATTTGTTACCGGCTCGTTAGGCCTGCACTAAATGTTTTCTCCAATTGTTTCTGAAGCAGACAAATTGCTCTGTTCTGTAACAGAAATCACTAATTTGGTTTGCGTCCGTCCCACTCGCTCTAAAACTGTATATTTTTATATGTTATTTAATTTATGCTCGAACGAATTGCATTATTGTTTTAATTACTCCTTCGTAAATCAACATACACCAACATGAAATAACTACACGTATTTTTAATTTTGTAGAAATATTTACGTTATGAGAATCTCGGCATATTTTGAACGCGATGTGCTAGGCTAGATGAAATAACTGTGCAAATGTGAAAAATATTTTATTCGACCGGTAACATTGGCATTTAAAATATCGTTATTTCAATAAAAGAAAGGGCCATCCGTTATGAATTTATGAATATGGAACAGTTTACAAGTTTGAAGCTTTCACAACTACCCTCGGATCGTAACGAGTTTCCGAGTGAAATAAAAAAGTCAATTATTTCCACATGTTTACATTTCCCGGCGAGTTCTCGGCAAACAAAGTCTTGCGCTAAGTGTATCTAGTCACGAACTAAGACAAACATTTTTATATAGTCTGAGCTACTGTTGGAATGCTGGCTTACAGTACACTCACTATACATCTCTATACTGAGGTATATATAGTTTGGGTGGGTACTAAATGCACGTTAGAATTAAATTACCTACAATCTATACTAATATTATAAATGCGAAAGTAACTCTGTCTGTCTGTCTGTCGGGCCTTAACTCCGAAAATACTGGACTGATTTAAATTAAATTTGGTACATAGATATTTTAGAGACTGAGAAAGGACATTAGGGACAAAGGACTTTTATTGCCCAAAAAGAGCCCCTTTTTCAACCCCTATCAAGGGGGTGAAAGTTTGTATGGAAATTCGTGATTCTTAAAGCTAGAACAATGAAACTTTCTTCTTTGGCTTTTTGGGAATAGGAGTGGGAGTGGGAGTGATGGTGGGAGGAGGAGTGTGAGTGGGAATGAGTCTAGGAATGAGAGTGGGAGTTAGAGTAGAAGTGATGTGAGGTGAGAATGTTGCGACAAAGTGGCATTTACAACATAGATTAAATGCACCCTTACATAAATTAATCAACAGCCTAAATAATTAAAAACTCTACCCCAAGTCACTATTCCACGCGGACGAAGTCGCAGGCACAGTTAGTATCGAATATTAATACAAAGTTAAAATTTACTACGAGTGAAACAATAAATCATGCCTTAATTCCTTTAGAGTAGTTTCTTAATTATTTTATCTTAAGCTATTTACTCTTTTAATCCAACTTATAGTTAAAAAAACACTTATTTTGTAGAATATATGTCATATAGTTTACACAAACCTTTCAGTGAATAATGCGATGCTGAAAGTAGCTTAGAAATTATTATAATCATTCAATCAAACAAATCATAACGGGTGACTGATTCTTCGTAGAGTCTCTGTAACGATAGATAACACAGTCAAACCCTTATCATTCACCGTTCATTCGACAGACCGACGTAAGCTGAGGCTTTGTTTTACATGTCTTTTATATATCACGACATCTACTTTGAATACTGGGTGAATATTCCATTGGTATGTCAAAATTTTACGGAATATTGGTTGTGCTAGCGACTTTCTATGCGTAGAATAGTTATTTTGGAAGTCAAATTTAGTTTTTTAAAACATAATTTTAATCTTTATAAACTACACACTGTTACCCACGACGTCATTCACGTCCCGCCGTTATTGGTAATCTTAAAAGATAGACATATAATATCACGAAGATTTTTTAGATCGTTTTCGCATAGATGAATAATTTTCCCTGTTTGGTCCATGTTTCCAACTGCATCTTTGGTCCTGTTGGTCGCAGCGTGAAATATGTTTTTTTGTTTGTCTGTCTGTTCGTCGTGATTCTACAGAGTGTTCAAAACAGCAACATAACTGAGAAGAACACCCAAGAAACTCAGTCCGGCTTTTTAAACATGTCTTATAAAGTAATGCATTGTTGTGAATTTATTAACCTAAGGAGCAATTCATATTACTACCAAGCAGTCTTGTGATTAAAGAAATCATTCAGACAATAATACGTCTGTTGAGACAATCTAAATTTTATAATATTTTTAAATTTATTTATCAGTGATGTTTTATAGCCTAAAGTCTTTGATGTATGGTCCGACTAATACAAAAAATTATTAATTCGAACTAGAAATCTATTAGCGCGCTCAAACTTTCAGATATATATAATAAATAATTATGCGTCCACGCATTTTTTTAAGCCATAAGGATTCCTTAACTCAGGAAAATGAATTAGTCCTTACAACAAATCGTGTCGTTGAATTTAAAAGCATTTAAACTGATTGCTTTACCACGATGACGTGCCAAGTTATGAAGCATGTAATATCAATCGTCGAGAGCTTTGCTCCTTGTCACAAGTGGGAAAAAATATATTTAGGGTTTGATACCAGAACTAGATCTGCAGCAACGCTAATAAATCCTATCCTAATTATGGAAATAAATGGAACACCGTAATGAAGTTCATCAATAAGAGTAGACACACGCAGAAACCGTGTTATGTTATCTGAAATAATAAGTTACAAAATCTTTTTACCCCCTTTTTTACACCATAATTTACTTATTACGTCAAGAATAATGAATTATTTCTATTTGACTTTAAATGTCGATGTTCAGTTGATTGTATCAAAATCTTAACTGTTTTTAATCATTCGACTTATTTACACCAGCCGTGGTCTGGCTTATTTAAAAACGTACAATATTAGAAAACAAACATTGTAGATGACGTATATCTGCTTTGTAAATACAGTTAGCAAACGACGTCTGACTGGATTTGTAACCAGATAGGATCGTATAAAAGTGTACGTATTTGCAAGGTAAATATGGAGAAAATTGAATTCTTTGTGGAGTTTTGAGGTCCTATCTGGAGCAAATAGAACGGTATTTTGTAGCTGTGATGGTGTTTACTGGATATATGTAATGGTAGCAAGTATGGTTAATAATAATGTGTCGTGGGTTCGATCTCCTCTGAGTCCAACATCTTTCTAATAAAATGTATATTAGTTTTGTAACATGTACTTCATCGGAAAATCTGGATATTAAATGGATAGCAGAAATACCAAAATTCAGTCCGGGTCACGAACTACCATTTACATATGACAAAGCCGAAAGTTAAAACGCTCTTTATATCAAACAAATTATTTATTCCACCTACGTTTAAACAAAAATACAATGCTTATAAATAAGGGGTACGTGAAGGAACACCACTCAGCTTCTGTTGTACCAATATATGCAAAACGCCGATTTTTTTCCACGCTTGACATTTGAAGTAAAACAGTAGTAAATTATACAATATACATTCATTTCAGTCTTTGGATTTCCGAATATCTAAGCTAGGGTGTTACATCTTCCACAAAGTGATTCCCCATGCTTCTTTGTCCTCTTCATCATATAAAATTATATTAAAGTTGATAATTATCTGTTAAAGAGATTCAGAAGCTCCATCCTTTAATACAAATAGGCTATCAAACTATGTCGACACTTCGAACACATCACCACAATATGGACGTTAAGTAGATTATCGGAACACGTAGCGATATCGCCCGGATGTAAGATATTGAGACTAATAGCCCGGGGCTATAACTTGTTTAACCAATGTTATTACTCGAGTTTTCAGCGAGCTACTTTTATACGATACGATTTGGGTCGTTGAGTTGGTCGTTTGGGTTACATTTTTCGACTAATATAAAAACGTTACGTTAAAAGACATTACAAAAAATGCAAAACATTGTTAATGTTTCCGAGATATTGTAAAAATTATTCTTGAAAACAATATGTTTCACATGTTATTGCACAACACTATATAATAAATTTTAAAAATTTACGACACGGGCAGAAATTGATTAGAGAACGCTGTAGATGCCAGTTTATGTCCTGCCCAATTCGTAAATATTTTTAAATTACTATCGAATTTAAATTCAAAATAACTCATTCCAAATTCCATAATCATATAGTATTTTTTTGTGGCACCGAGCACGTGACGTAAGTGATGTGTAAGAAAAATTATCGTTATACGTATTATCTAAAAGTACGTTACCGCGAGCGGTCCAGGCTTTGAATCACGGGGAAACATGATAAATCGTATCGGTCAGGTATGGCACAGTCTGATTAATACTTTGATATATTTAGGAATTGACAAGGCACAGAAATAACTTTGTGCATGCTGCAAGTACAGAGAAAGAGATTTTAAATAATCAATTTATGTACTGTGAGCAAGAACAACTTGTAGAAATTTTTTAGAACAATAACAGTTTTTTGATTTTATTGATTTGATTGATTTTAAAAGCAGTATCAGGATTTGAGAAATTTGGCTGGAAATTGTAGCAATTAGAAAACTTGTAAATTTATGTATTGAATATTTTTTTGAAATGGAATTAAAAACTTATACCTTACACAAATAGTTTAATTATTAACACATGATATAAGTTAGTCCGTACATGGATGCATTGTAAGAAAATATATTAACTAATTTACAAAATGAAAACATTATTTTATTATTTTTACAGACACTTTAATGTGATAAAATAATAATCCCATATTATAAACTTATTTATGGTACAGACTAATTATATGACTTTTTACACCTTTTAACATAATTGTTTATTTAAATTCACATAACTATTTAAAAAATTTGTTTACCCTTCTTATAACATATCCACTTTTTAATACTTCTTATAATAAAGCACTTAGATTAATACACATGAACCATTCCATATATAAAGGTCCAGAAGAGAACATATGTGCAGAGTCCACCGAGGAAACCGTGAGTGAGTAGGCTCTGCCTGGATACATAATACTTCTGCCAATTTGGCCCAGCTTTAATCATAAACATTACCCATAATATTACCACCGAGAACATGTAGAAAGCGAAACCATTTAATGCAGTAAGCCCCAGGACACCTGAAATCATAGAAATGAACATTTGAAGGAAATAATAGTATTGTAGTTTAGGTTAGGTGATCAGTGTGGACTGTGGCTATAATAATAAGCTACAGTTGAAAACAAATAAATAAAATAGGATAACTTATATCAATGTCCTAGAACAATAATTTTAATAAATAAAAATAGAAGCATATATTCCAGCTTTGTTATCTTATTAACAATTAAAATTAAAAATGGTCTCAAATTTATAAATGCATATATTTATTATATTTTTAGGTCTAAGGATGTTACAATAAAAATAAAGCTTAATATTATAGCTCTCTTGCTTTGGTGACCCAATTTAAATGTATTTATTATGAATTCAATATTAAGAGAACACTTCTGTAAATGAGTTTCATATATGGAGTAGATATAACATTATGATTAAAACTCTTATTTTTTTTGACATGATTTAAGTTCATACCTGCAGTTGATCCAGATAATGCAGACATGGAAGTCCTACAATATTCTAAAACATTGGCATTATTTCTAAGAGCTGCTTCACTATAGGCGATTGGTTCAGGCACATTTTCTTTTTTTAAGGGTACTGACATTTTTACAATTTATATAAAATCTGCTGAATGTGAGGTAAGGTTATTTTATTCGTTTATTGTATTAATTACTTGGTAAAAGTCGCTACTCGCTCTACAACTGAAAAAACTACCTATTGACATTGACAGTACACACTTTTCGATTTTGATCTTAGACTGACATTAATGCCGAAAGATTCCAGAGGTTTAAAAAAGACATGAAAATTAATAATCGATAGCTATCATCGCTATTATATTAATAAGAATTATATTTTTACTATTTCTTTATTTATTTCTTTTAAAGACCCAAATAAAAGGATTATATTTAATATAATCCTTTTTGAGAATCACAGACTATAATTTTGCAAGGAACCGGCAATGAACTTTCAAATAATTGTCAATGTGTGAGTTATATGTTGACAAGAAGTCGTTCCCGCACACTAGAGCTACAAAAACTCAGTGGGTTTCGCGGCACTACTTGATTCATTGATGTGAATTTAGAAATTTCAAATTTTAAATATTTAGTATATTATAAGTAATAGAAACAATTAACTTATTACTTTGCAAATCAAATGACATTTTATTTTATTGAGTTCTTATAATACTGTCCACAATTATACACTAAATAAGCATATTGGTATATAGTGATGGCGTGTGTATGACGGCTACATTGGGCTCCATTTGCGAACAAAATAGGACTTTGTTCTAGCAATAATTAGGTGTTCAGGATTTTGGTTATTGCTTATGCAATGGTAAGTCAAGCAGATCTCGAAATAGCTTAGTTTAAGCTTTAAAGTTTTATCAATCTTTCGCAAAAATGAAAATTAAGTTCTCGATTCTGTGTGGCAGGGAGCAACTATGCCCTATTTTTTCTGCACTTACGATTCATTATAATGTATGCAGGTTATGAAAATTTTAACAATATCTGGGTTTTCCTATAATATGTATCAGTTTTTTAATCGAAAAGTAAATATTTGAGCGAATTCTTGGATGTGTATGAAATGTTTGTTTTACACACATTTATCTATGTAGGTTCTGAACTTTATTTCGATTCTTTTGTTTCAGACTAGGCAAGAAGATAAATTCTAATGATTTTAAATCGATAACCAGGCGTTAATTTATCATATTTTATCAAATAAACATTAATTATACAATGGTTTTTCTGTTAGGCAAATGTTGGCCGACATAGTGTTACGTCAGGCGCGTTATGAAGGGTTGAATTAATTTTTAAAATGGACGAAACAAATGACAAAATGAACACAGGGGAAGTTCATTGTATATCAAATTCCTCTCCTACAGTGAAACCAAAAAAAAGGTCAATTGTTGAGAGGGAACTCGAGACAAGTCTTACTCCCATGATAACATCACCAATTACTAATGGTGAAAGTACAAGTAGGTATGGGAGGGCACGTAAGATAAAAGGTGGACTAAGCCCTGTAAACTTTGAAAAAACCAATGTAAAGTTATGTACACCGACCAATGAAAAGTCACCGAACAAAGTGTTAACAGCTTATAAAATGCATGCTATGAATTCACCAATAACATCTGAAACAATGTGCCTTGATAGTCAAGTTGAAAATATTTACAAGGAAAATTTGTCTCTAAGTCGTTTTGGTACAGAAGAAAAGAAGTGCAAATTGCAAAGTTCGAAAACATATACAAGAAAAGATCTTATACAAACTAAAGAAAAGGAAGAAACAGTTATTTTAATCCGAAATTTGTTTTCACCAGAACAAAAGCTCACAAAAGACTCAGAAATAAATATTAAGAAAAAACGTAAGGAAGATTTGTCATCTGTTGTTAAAACATTGGATTTTGGAGGGAAAAAGAAAACTAAGGAGATACAAGAAAAGAGAATATCTCAGAGTGATTTATTTGATTTGGAAGCACAATGTAATTACCAAGTAGGAGACTTGGCTTGGGCAAGAATGGGTGCATATCCATTCTGGCCATGTATTATATCAAGAGAACCTAGTAGCAATCTATTTGTCAAGAAAAAGTGTAAGTATTTTGTAACAGTATATTTATATGCAATTTTTTCTACCCTAAAAAAAAAATACAAAGAAATCCACACTTACTAGTATTTGTAAGTTTAGGTACTACTATATCAAATAAAACATACTATTAGTATGAAGTAAATTTTATATGAATTCTGTTCATATATATTTCTTGCATACATAATGATTTAAAACAACAAATTTACTATAACATACTTAATTTAAGTTTCTTATTTATTATTAAATATATATTTTAATTTTTTTTTTATAATTCCAGTATTTGGTAGACAAGAAAGAGATATTATACATGTGACTTTCTTTGGTGATAATGGTCGACGGGGCTGGATGTTAGAAACAATGTTAAGGAAATACTCTGGTTTGCATGAGTTTGAATCTACGAGAGACAATTTTACCCCAGAAGTGTGTATTAAATTTATTTTTCCCTTTTTCTTTGTATTTGAGGTTTTAGTGGTTAATAACCTATGTCAAGATTTGATCTGAATATTTTCATGTTAGATAATTTAAAATCTTAAGTAAAAAAAGTTGTAAAGTAATTCTCGTTACAGACAGTTTATGTATGTATAGTTTGTATTGACGTGTATGTTTGACTTGACTTAAAGTTAAATAAAAAAAAAAAATTAAATTTTATATTTATAACTTTCAGGCAAAGAAAAAGGATCCTAAATTATATGCAGCATTTTTTGTGTCTGAAAAACGATTGCCGCTTTGGCACTTATCTATACAAGAAGCAGAAGTCCTTTTGAGAGAGCCAAAAAGACTAAGGATTGACATTTTAAATGATATGATAAATAAAAGTAAGGAAGGAAATATTGTAACACAAAAGAGTAAAAGAATTGTTAGAACAAACAGTGATGTCTCTCTTAGTGAAAGTTTATATGACAGCTTGTTTTCAGAGGAGGACTCTAAAAATTCAGACTCGGAATCAGGTAGGAGAAGTAGGACTAAGTCTTATGATGTTTCTGACGTTGTTACGGCTTGCCTTGATAATATGGCGGCGAAAACTGGTATCACAAAAATTCAGAAACAGTCCCATATGGATAGATGGTTGCAGAAAGCCAAATCTATAACACCAGAAAAGTGCCAATTAAAATTAATTAAATCAGACAGGAGAGTTAAAGCTACCCCAAAAACAAAAGTGCCTTCTAATGATGACATAAGATACAAATTGCGTAACATAAGAAATGAATCTCATAGTGATATTAGCAGGTTCACTCATCAAAATGAGCATGATTATTATTTGCAAAGTATTCCCAATGGGAATATATTAAATGAAAATGAACTAGATCATAGTGGAAGTAATTCTGGAAAAAAATTACCAAATGTAGCTAAGAATATATTCACATCTGATATAGCATTAGGCATTGCACCACAACCTCTGAGTGAAATGTGTACTGAAGTTATATCAAATGAAGACACAATAATTGATCTTTCCAATATTAATGAAGTTATACTACAACCTACTAATGAAGAAGAATTACTTGTAAATCGAGTAGATAAAGTTGGAAAGGTGTGTGTTTCTAATGAAGTAAGTAAATCTATGGAATTAAATACGGAAATAAAAAAATTAACTAATGGAGAAAATAATTGTAAAGCTAATCAAAAAGACAACAAAATGTTGTCTGTGAACTTAACTAGGTGTCCTATTGAAGTTGTAAACAAACATTTGAATAAGAAAGCTAATGCAAACGATAAAAATAACATAAAAAACTACATTTTAAATAAAGTTGACCTAAATACACCAAATTTAGATAAAGACCGTCTTGTAAATAAGACAACTTTTGTCCACCAAAGCTTGGAAAATAGTAATGGCTCTTTAAATATAACGGATTTAGAATGTTGTGAAGAAACAAGTAAAACAATGCACAATGACACTAAAGCTCTACCTACAGATATTTCTTCAACAAAAACGAAAAAATTTATGAAAACTAAAAATTGCGATATGAACTTTGACAAAGAATTTGACCCAGTTGCTATTAAAAATGTCAAAATATTATATGATATAGATACTGACGACGACGTAAAAAATGAAAAGTCAAATGAAATTGCACCTTTTACTCTAGAAGAGACAAAAACTGTAGTTATATTAAAAAATACAACTGAAATCAATACAATGATGCCTAAAAATCACTCACTTGAAAATAACGATATTGTCTCAATATCAGAATTGGAACAAAGAAAACGCAAGGTAGAACCTAAAAAAGATTCTACATTTCGTTCAGATGTGTGGACTGATCTAGGTGACGGACCTTCAAAAATGACGACAAATCAAGATGACAATAGTTTAAACAAAAGTAAAAATACTATGCTTTGTGATTATACATCAAACGCTACTTGCATTGCAGACGACAGAAATACGGATAACGATGAAATGCTGTTAACCGAATCATTTAATTTGATTACGCAATATGAAGGTGAAGATTCTTGTGATATTCAATTAATATATGACGAGGGTGACAGTAGTCTTGATATTTTTTCTTCAAAGGAATTAAATCTCAATCACAAAGATGACACTGACGAAGATGTAACTACAAGAAAATTAAAAAGCAAGACAGTACAAAAAACTGATATTCATGGTATAGAAAAATTAAATAAACAAGTAACTTCTGATGGAATCAGTATTTTTGAAGAAAATATTATAAAAGAATCAAAGAAACTTGAAACTAGTTTTAATTTTAAATCTATTGAAACGAAATCAGACTCAAGTTCTCTATCAAGTAATTTTCAATCCAACAATTCTTGCAATATTGACTTAAATTATCAGGATCAATCGTCACCAGTAAACATTTCCCTTGTTGAAACTTATGATATTAATAAAGATTATTCAGGACACGTAAGAGAAAATAAAGAATCACAAAAACCTAACATTGCATTTAATAATAAGAACACAGTCGATTTAAGTTCTAAGTTTGATTTGTGTGAAAATAAGCTTAGAACAAGAAAAAAAGATAACTCTATGGCATCTCAAGATAAAAATGGTTTTAAAAATCCTGGCTTCCTAAAATATCTTGAAGAAAAACAAGATGTAGTGATGGACGAGAATCCGAATTTGGCCTATGAAGATATAAAAACTTATTTGTATAAAACATGGCAATATCAAGAAGGTTTAAAATTATGTTTAAATGATTTTGATCAGTCAAAATCAGTTAAAGGTCTTGATGGAGAGGTGGTGGAGAGGAAATCGAAGAAATTATCCCTTAAAAAGAGACCCGAAAACTTGCACCAAACTACAATTGATTTCAAATCAGTACAAACTTCTCAATTTAAAGTAAATCTATTGCTCAACGGTCAAGAAGTAAATACACTGCCATCAAATTGTAATTATGATGAAAAAGAAAGTAACATAACTGCACAGGGTTCAAGTGAAGTTATCACAAATAAGATAGCTTTAAATAAAGGCGGAAATTTAATGTCACATCAAGAAAGTAACCAATCTGAATTATTAAAATCTAATATTTGCAACGATATTCCCTTCAAAATTGTAACAGATATGGATGATACAGATAATTCAAAGTTGTTACATACAAGCTACCAACTTGAAGAGACTAGTAATTCTAAACTATCAGCTATACATCTAGATGAAAAAGAAGAAAACGTGGTTGACATCTTGCCTGATACGCCCCTTTCTAATCGAGAGAGACCTCTTTTAAAACAGGCTCCGAGCAGTGTGTCAGACTCAGACGATCATAAGCCCGATGCAGTGAACGAAACTGACAAATATATAGAATCAAAAGATATAGATTCCAGGAGAGACTCTGAAGATAGTGAATACGCTCCGAGTAGATCATCTACAATTTCTAAAGAACACGATCAAAGAGAAGATTTCGATACGATTTCAATAAAATCAAGCAGTGAAGTACGAGTACCCTCAAAACAAAAGACGCGTAAAGAAAAACAAACGTCGAATAAACATCTCGAAGACCCTGAATTTCTGAAATACTTAGAATTAAGACAGGATCAAATAATAGATGAACAACCTGAACTCAGTCAAGCAGAAATCGTGACATACTTATATAACACATGGTCATATGAAGAGAACAAGAAATCAGAGGAGAAGAAGTCTGACGACTTAGATCAAGGGAACTTAGTCAAAGGACTTAACAGTGAACCAGTAAAAAAACTGCGAAAAAAAGTTAAAGTTACTAAAGAAAAAGAGTATTCGAATATACGAGAAGACACGTCTCTTAAAGACAAGTCGAAAAGAAGAACCGAAAGACAATTCTACAGAGAAGACTATTCAGACATTGAAGACGAAATAGAACTGTTTCAATCTGGTAATGAAAAAGAGGTAATAAGTGATATTGAAAAAATAAGTTCCGATGGCGTAACTATTACAGACGACCAGGTTCCAGATGAAGTAAACCAAGTAGAGGAATATTTCAGACAGTTAACAGAATCTAAACCAAATCTATTCAAAGGATTAGTCAGAGAGAGAGTGTGTGAAATATGTGAAAAAGTGGGCAATCTCGTCAAGTGTAAAGGTTGCTACGGAATGTTTCACACGGATTGTACAGCAAAAGTTGTCGAGTTAAAGGAATCACCTGTTCCCATAAGAGGTAGAAAGAAGAAACGAAAATACAAGGGCAGAAAACCAAAGGGCCTAGATGACTCATATGAAGATCACAGCGACGATAAATCCCAGGAACATGACATGTCGTTCGAGTACGAAACGGAAACGCACACAGTCATCAATGCGGAGGAATTCGAACAGAAACTGTCAGAAAAGTTAAAAGAGCTAATTGACAACCCAGAAACAAAGTACGACTCGTACTCTAGCGATGACGAACTGGATTGGAGTGATACAGAGGTGGGGAGGTGTAAAATTGTAGATATAATACCAAAGAAGAAGAAGGCAGAAATAGTAGACTTCAAATGCAGGAACTGCGAAGAACATGATATACCCTTATGTTTCGTGTGCAAGAGTGTAAAATCCCCTAAAAAGCAAGTCGAGCATAGACAGAAGTGTCAGATAGCGCATTGCAATCAGTACTATCACATTGAATGTTTGGAGCACTGGCCCCAAACTCAGTTCAATAGCGGGGAGAGAAGTAAGAAGGGCACAGAATTTGTTGAAGGGCTTCATTGCCCCAGGCACGTCTGCCACACTTGTGTCTGCGATGATCCTAGAGGCTGCAAGACCCGGTTCAGTGGGGATAAGCTCGCGCGCTGTGTGCGTTGCCCGGCTACATACCATACGTTCACAAAATGTATTCCAGCGGGAACGCAGATACTGAGCGGATCGCATATAATATGTCCACGCCATTATGAACACAGGTAAGTTATTGTAATAATTCATGAATAAGATTAACCGTAAAAATTAGCTTTAAAATTGTAATTAAAATGTAGCTATCGAAATCAATGGTTACTCTGTTTTCATGATATGTTTACGTTCTTAGTTGATCTGCCTCTCTAAGGGGGTTCTCCGACACACGATATATTTAGCCTACACATTAAATCTCAATATGCTATAGAATCATTTCTTATACAGGCCTGGCAAGGTACCGTGTCATGTAAACACGGGCTGGTGTTTTATCTGTGCTCTGGGGGGAACGCTGATCTGCTGCGAGTACTGCCCCACATCTTTCCACGCGGAATGCCTTAACATCGAGCCTCCAGAAGGTACGAAATCTTACGATTAAATTTTGTACAGTGTGAAGGATTATATATATATAATCTTTGCTTTGCTTATATTGATCTGATTAATGTAGAAAGAAAGAAAGTTTACGCGAGTAGTACACATTAAAATAAAACACTGTAACGGCTTAAAACACGAAATATATATAACTTATTAAAAAAATATTTTAACTAGGCCCGACGTTTCGAATGCTTTGTAGCAGCCGAGATCATGGGGAGGCTGAAAGTTGAAATAATTTTAACTAATATATTTCGCGTTTTAAACCGTTAAAGTGTTTAAACGTCTACTCTCATAGACTACAGACAGTATTTAAATTGTTTTAATTGAGTACATTATTATTGTTAAATATCGTTTTGATAAACGTTTGAACTTAATGTTTCTGTATTAAAAAACACACACACAAAAACATTTATGCTTAAGCTTATTATGCTAAGTTATTGCCCCGAATATTGCTCAGCCGTGGGGGCTGCTGCAAGGCATACAAAACGTCAGGTCTACTTAAAATTAAGATATTTCGCGTTTTAAACCGTCAACTGTGTTAAATAATGGTTTTGCAGGGGGATATATGTGTGAAGATTGTGAAACTGGATGCTTGCCGCTGTACGGGGAAATGGTGTGGGTGAAATTAGGTCACTACAGGTATGTGGTATATTTTCAAGTCACTATGCATAGGTGAAGATGGAAGAAACATAAACTTTCTTGGTTTACCTATTAGTATACCTCCTTGGTCTTAACCTTTTAGAGTATTCTAGATTGTATTTCGTATTGATTTTTTTTAGTAAAAATCATTAGAATATATAAGACACATTTGATAAACAGTCCTCCTAAAAGAAAGCAAATCTCTTATTATTTAGCAATTTCGTGTTTAGTGGAAAATCCCGTTTCCGGTCATGGGGTATGGGACTAACACATATCTGTTCAGATCCTTTCAGCGTTCAGTTTTTCACTTATAGGCGAACCGAAACAATCTATTGTTCCCACGAGATTCCCCGCTACCATTTTCTCCGTCTCCGTCATAATGTTGTAGTGATACCTTAGGAATTGATTTTGAAATCTACCAATAAACCTATTTTTATGATGCAGATGGTGGCCTGGTCTTATCCTGCATCCATCTGAAATTCCGGAGAATGTTATGGTGGTGAAGCATTACCCAGGGGAGTTTGTAGTGCGGTTCTTCGGGCAATACGACTATTACTGGGTCAACAGAGGCAGGGTGTTCCCTTTCCAGGAAGGTAAATATTACAAAATAAGTATTATTAAAGTTGTAATGGACAAGTAGTAAACAAAATAAAGGCTAGGTGTCCATATATTATACTCGTAAAATTCTTTAGTCAGTTGTTTGTGCAGTTCTAAATGGCAGAATAGATTTTTTTTTTGAAATACACTGGGATTTTTTTATTTATTTTTACAATAATATTGAAAATTAATAATTTTCCATGATTTCTGATTTATTTTTATTCTGCAATAGATCTGCAATAGTTCTCTGCAATTGCTAGAACTGTTTTTTTAAAAAAAAACAAGGGCCAGTAAATAATTCAGTCTAATTTTAATGTGCTTGAAAACGAATATAAACCTCTATAACACGGTAATGGCACGTATTTTGTTATCATTCCAGGTGACACTGGCAGGATATCGAACAGAAACTCAAAAATCGACGCCGCCTTTGCAACCGCAGTGGAGCATGCGCAACGCGCTTATGAGATATTGAAGAGTGAGTATTCTTATAAAGCTTTTGTTAAGCTGTTAATATGTGTTTAATATAATTTATAAGCTTTTGCGACACATTCATGTCAATGCATACACATATGTATGTGTTCTGACTGATTAAGTAAGTAGCATGGGGTAAAAGTCGGATACTTGACGAAATATTTACATAGGATTTCAAATCATGTAGGTAGCTAGGTAGACAGTTAAAAATTAAAAACTCTAAATTTACATTTACTACCAGTTCCCAAATTAAGGACGTAGAATGAACGAGAAGAATTGGCAAGAAACTCGCCATCACTCGATTTATTGTCAAGTTTTGTTATCTTACCATATACTTGTTGCCGCGAGGTTTATCACATTATATATAATGATGTTCCCTTTTTAACACAAATATAAAGATTTATGTTATTTTATATCCATTAGATGCATCACCGAGCAACGACGGAGACGAAAACATAGCGTCGTCTCTTCTTCCCCCGCACTACGTGAAATTAAAAGTGAATAAACCTTGTGGATCTCTAATCAATAAGAAAATAGACCTCGAGGAAAGTTCTCTGACGCAGTGCGATTGTAATCCTAACGACATCGAGCCGTGTGGCCTTTATTCGCAGTGTCTGAACAGGTATTTTTTTATTATGTTAAAAACTGATATTAAAGAAAGCGGCTAGCGGTTGATGCTCAACGTGGGACTTAGGACACTGATTAAAAGTCATGTGCTAACAATTTTTGCAAAATATCAAGGGCATATAGTTTTTTTTATAATATAGGCCCATAAACTTACTAAATCATGACTAAAAATTTTGTAAAAAAAATTATTGTACTCATCAGGATGTTACTAACGGAATGCGGACCGATATGTCGAGCTGGAGACAGGTGCTGTAATCGCGCATTTGAGAAACGACAGTACCCTCGAATGGAGCCTTACCGCACACCGGCACGTGGCTGGGGCCTTCGTACTCTTGAAGATATCAGAGCTGGTGAGGCTATTATTTATAAGTTTTCTCAAAAACTATTGATCTGGTTAAAATCCGAGGAGGTTGTAGCATCAAGGTTACATAAAAATTGTGTAAAGTTACAAGACCACAGAGTGTGTAATAAAGCTGTGGTGTTTGGTTATCTTCTCAATACATACGGGCTGATTTTTTTTATTGATTGAGAAAATATATGTACATTATTAGTATCACTCTTAATATTGTAACCAACTGAGTTACTGTGTAAGTCTTTTACGATAGCTCCATTGCGTAATACAGCAGCGCAGATAGTTACAGATGTCTCGGCCAGTTTTTCTATTTTTTCCATATTATTAGCTTTTTAATTTATAATAAGGTAGAATAACACTTAAAGATCAAAAATTACCTAACACTAAATTGTACTATTCTAGGTCAATTCGTCATAGAATACGTAGGCGAGTTGATAGATGAAGAAGAGTTCCAACGCCGTATGAAGTGGAAGCACGAAGTGAGAGACGAGAACTACTACTTCCTCACGCTGGACAAAGAGAGGATGATCGACGCGGGACCGAAGGGAAATCTTGCCAGGTATTTAAAATACATTTTTAATTACTCAACAGTTTCATTTGGTGCTCATCATTACCTTACCATATATGTAATTTGTAAAAGGGGAAGGAGGGATTTGCGGTGCTTCTTCGTTTACCATATTCACCAGATGTTGCTTTATTTTTATTTATCGCTCTAACAAGTAGCGAAATATTTACAAAATGTTAATAATAATAGTCGGCAATATGTTTGATTAAATATAAAGATATGAAAGAGATATCATACATATAAAACATACATACAAAAAAATACATTTATGGAAAACTTAATTACTTTTGAAGTTTAATGTCTAATTCGTTTTTGTATAGGTTTATGAATCATTCGTGCGACCCAAACTGCGAGACGCAGAAGTGGACTGTACTTGGTGATGTCAGAGTGGGACTCTTCGCGTTGTTCGATATACCTGCGGTGAGTGTCCTTTTGTAAGGAATTATTAGGACGCATTGTGTACCCAGGGCTCCTCCAAAGCACCGTAGAGGGCTGGTCGTATGTTTGGTGGTTCTGGTCGACTATCGGATTTACCACACTCCCCAGGTCACTATTGCCCGACTTTATTTTATTTTATTGGATTATAAAGTATTGGGCCCAGGGTCTTGTATACTAACCTGAGGTTTGGGCGAGCACGCCAGCGCTCACCGTGTTTGCGGCTGGAGTTCGGCTTGGACCGCCGCAACGCAGGTGGGAGCTTGAAGAGCTGGACGATAGCTCACCCGGATGAGCGGTAAAATTACCCGACGTGGGCGTGCATTAGGCATTAACACCATCAGAAAAAAGGACACATTGTGTGTTATTTGAAAAGTAAAGGTTTAATTGCTTTTCTATATAACCAAATAAATATACTAATATATAATATATTTATTTTCAGAAAAGCGAGATAACGTTTAACTATAATTTGGAGTGTGCAGGCATTGAGAAAAAGCGCTGTATGTGTGGGACGAAGCGATGTTCTGGATTTATGGGGGCTAAGCCAAAACAGGTAAGAAAAAAAAGCAATTAAAAAAAAGAAAACAACCTCTCTCTCTTTTATATATGGCGTATTAAAGGGTATATACAATATAAGTATACAGTTAATGAGCATAATATTGAATATATGTTGTGGCCTTTATTCGTTTATCTGTTATGTGAGGATAAGACCAATATTTGTATTATATGTGACCTACTTGCGTAGCTTAATGAAATAACACCTATTATTTTCATTCGTAGGAGGAACCAAAGAAAAGTAAAGTAGCTGCTAAGAGAACGTATAAGAAACGAAAGACCATAGAACTCTCGCCGACACCAAGTAAACCTAAACGCGGCCGTCCCAAAAATAGGGAACTAACAGAAATAGAAAAGGACTTGTTGATCATCAAAAATGCCACAAACGGATTATCAAGCGACTCTGAAAGCAGCGGCAGACTAAACAGTTTGGACAGTGTACACTCGCTTAAGAGGAAAAGAGTGAAAGAAGATAACGGCTTCGTCTCTCCAAGCACAAAGAAAAGTAAAGGTAGCAATTCGGAGCTTGATAGCACCAGAAATGAAAGCACTCATGATCATCAAAAGTCAAAAGATAATTTAGACGCAGCCTATAATCATAAGGTCGAGAATGATCAGAAATTAAAAAGAAATAGAATCATGCTTAAACACGTTGAACGGACAAAGCTAGACGACGTACAAGATGATGTTTGATATAAGTGTGTTAATATTAGTGGACGTAACTGCAATGTTTTACGTTTGACGAGAATTTACAATATAAATCATTTATAATTATTTTTTATTAGGGAATAGGGAAATATTACCAGTTAACCAAAATCGAGTTCAACTAACCATGAAATGAAAAACAGCCAAGTACGAGTTAGGCGCGTACGAAGTTTACATCCAAAAATCACATGTGCCGTTTAAAGGTCACACTACCCGTTGTCCTTATTAATGTGAAACAAAAAGATACTTACGAACACAAGAGATATCTCTCTAAGATAGAAAGGACGATAAGAATAGAGTTTTTAATCCCTGTACATGTTTATATTTTATATCACCTTCAAATGTGTCAAAATTTGTAATATTTAAATTTGCCAATGAAAGCTCGAATTTTTTATTCAGACTTCGGACACACTCAGATCAAAGCAAAATCAATATACAATAAAATTGTTCCTAATTTTAAGTATTGTCATTTGCGGGCAAATCATGATCATATTTCCAGTACATTTTGACTGAAAACATTAAATTTAGATGTAAAATTAGTAATTAGTTCATAGAATCAAAATTAAAAAGGATCTATCCATGCTCTTTTATGTATTGACAGAGACGTTTTTATGAATTGTGTACAGAAACATAGCATGCTAGATCAGCTTTGTAGGCTTATTAAATAGTTTTAAATATTTATGGCTTTTGTTTTATTATGTTTTACCTATTAAAATTTGGCTTAATTATTTTCACATGCTGATGCTAGTCAGACTAAGAAGGTTTCCGTAGGCAATGGTACATAGACAGTACTATGTGAACTTCAGTTCACTTGAGTTAAAGTGAAATACTCCAGCCATATAAGATGTAAACAAGATGCACTGTCGACTCATTTAAGTTTTAACTATAACCAAATGCTTCATAAGCTCGGGGTCTAAAGATAGTAGGCGTCCCTAATACTCGTATCAAATGCAAATCCGCTACGCTCAGCATCAGCTATATAACATCTAAATAAGATGAGCTGCCGACGTATTTTGGCTTTGGATATTCATAAATCCACAGACTGACACCGAAACGTGATGACACGTCACGGTATCATCTGTCATCTGTCGACGGTGGTTGGTGACCCGACGGAATTTCGATATTCCTACCACCCATTTAATTTACAAACGAAGTCGAAGATGTAATGATTTGAAACATCCTGTGGTCAGTGGAGATCGAATCTACGCCCCGTTGATTATTGTAAGCAGAATAATAACGTATTAAAAAAATAGGGTTGATCGTAGAAGGGTTAAAATTGAGGATTGTATGTTGTATCATAAAAAATTAAAACTTTTGTCTAAAAAATAATAAAAAAATAGGGGTGGACTACCCTTAAAATTTAGGGGGATGAAAAATAGATGCTGGCCGATTCTCATAGATACCGGATAAGCACAAAAAATTTCATCAAAATCGGTCAAGCCGTTTCGGAGGAGTATGGCAACGAAAACTGTAACACGAGAATTTTATATATTAGATTTCGTAGACAATTTAACACAACAGCGTATGTACACAGTTTAATTTTTCCTAGAAATTTGAATGAATAAAAATAAGGTACATACTAGATACAGCACAAACACAATCTTATGCAGATATTTGAAAAGACGAAATTGAATTATCAGTTCAATTTGATTCCTCTTCGTAATGAAAATATCTGAGCCCCACCAAATCTGGAAAGGAGTAATAGATGATCTATTATAGGAAAAAATACGTTCATTTTCACAATTTAAATACAACACTTATCATTGTCTTTCGGGCTGTTCTCCTAATGAATAATCTAATTCTTCGAGCAATCGAGGAGTTAACATCTCTTGATGATGCCGTCCGCACGTGATAGCAAAACGTAGAGAACCTCTTCTCGCTCACGTCGGCCGAACAGCCCGAAAGAATGATATGCTGAACGATAGCCGTGAAAGCCTTACAGAATTTATCAAAATATATAAGTTAAACTTAATTACAAATTATTATTTTTTGTCACCCCATGACCACGGCTGCTGCAAAGCATCCGAAACGTAAAACAATTTGGAAATAAGTTAAACCAATATATTTCGCGTTTTAATGTAAACTACAGACTAATTGTTTGTTAGAATGTACAACTTAATATTAGCCACATTTACTTACAAGACCAATAATTGCGAGTATAACTGAGCATTTCGTCAAATCTGTGCGAAATAAATGAGGTTTATCACCGGAGCTGCTTTGTAAATAATATTCCAACATTTCTTTTATGTCAGAACTTTGTGAGAGATCAAGAGTGGATTCATAATGACAACTGAGATGCTTATAAGTATTTTTTGTTTCTGACTTTCCAACGACAATGTTTCTAGACTACCAACGGTATTTGAGGTCCTTGGTTTGAAAACGGGCTTTGGATATTCGGATACCACAGACTGAACCCGAAACTTGATCAAACCCACTCCTGCCACCCATTTACTATCCAGATTTCCAGACGAAGTCCAACATGTTTCAGATAAATTATAAATTGATTAGAAAAATGTTATTTGTCATATATTGCTCTGAACTGGGTACGCCGTTACAAAATAAATTTAGACACATTCTGTCTATAGTTTACGCGAGTAGTACACATTTAAATAAAACACTTTAACAGTTTAAAACGCGATATATTAGTTAAACTTATTTGAAAATTATTTTTAACTTCGGCCCGACGTTTCCCCGTGACCACGGCTGCTGCAAAGCATCCGAAACGTTGGGCCGAAGTTAAAAATCATTTTCAAATAAGTTTAACTAATATATCGCGTTTTAAACCGTTTATTTAAATTAGACACATTCGTTTTTAATTAAATGCGTTCGACAGTATGCGCGGCTACCACCAACAAATTACTTAAAGTTTATTTACGTCTTTTATTTATTTATTTTAGAATTACGTTCTTAAACAACACATTAATATTTCATTTATTATTTTGCCTACTTTCGGGGATTTTAGTGAAAAATAAACTTTTAAAAATGTCGAGTGACAGTGACAAGTGCGTAGAATATTACAAAAAAAGCGACGTTATCGTTCGTTATTTTTTCATTTCCTTTGTAAATCTGATTAGGTTTTCAATTCTCTCGTTACAATGTAATCAGAATTATTTATTCAGCTGTTTATTTAAGCGATTCTGCGATGTACAAACCTTTGCTGAAATCAAATTAAATGTTCGGAACGACGGAATTTAATAATTCACATGGAAATATAAACATCCTTTTCGTGGTTATTTTAAAATACGATCCGACATTCGTTAAAATGGTTAATGATCATTTTTCACCGAACATTGATACAATTTTATTTCCGTTTAAACATGAATAATTAGACGATTTTGTATATAGGTACTTAGGATGAAAAAGTTTGCTAAGAACTGCATGTTTTTCTTTAAATGCGTTGTTCTTACGTTGATTATATAGCGGACAAATGTCTTAATTTGTTTCAAATATTAATTATTATATATCTTAGGGTTCCCTGGGTTTTAAACCCGTTTAAAACCCCGTTTACACTTGCATTGCTAAAACACCATAATATTTTTACAACGAAAGTGATCTATTTATTCACTATGTCTAACTGATAAGCCCAGACAATTAGGTACAGATTTTAATGTCATTTATATTCAAAATGCAATGTCCAAAATGAAAATAAGTAAATATTGTATATGAAACATACTTACGGTTACTAATAAGTTATAAGACTAGTTAAAATTAATTATTACGATGTACTAAGAACCTGCTTTTTGTATTTGTTATTAAGATATAGTAAAGTCACCCAGAAGTTTGCGTATTCTTGATAAATCAGAGCATGGCGTATTGAAAGCGTGTTGTTACTTTTACTGTAGTTATCATTCGACTATAGAATCGGATAATAAACACCCATCATTCAAAATAACATGCTATTTACGCAGTGTATTCACAAAAGTTACACTAAACGACGCACCATTAGATGAACGAGCTCGTAAGTCTTGACTATAACAGGGCTCCCTTATTTTTTCCCGCGGCGCGCATATTTTTCAAACGTCCTTTCAATGTAAATTTTCAACCTTTCAGAGAAACAGGCATTACATCCTGTGTGTACTTTATGGGGGTAGTACACGCTTAAATAAAACATTTTTAACAGTTTAACAAATTAGTTATTTATTTTAAATACGGTTCGAAATTCCCCTGTGACCGCGGCTGCTTAATTAAAAGTGTTTTATTTAAATAATCAGGTTATCTCTATAGTATATTGTAGTTCTAGTCGGGCAGACCACTAAAGTATGATCAAGCCTGCTATAAATGTAATCAATGAAATAGGCACAGACAAGTGTTCGCCCTTGCCCCAGACATAACACAACGGAAGGCGTACATAAGAATTCCAAGCCAAGTCGTAGAGTTTTCTAATGAGGTTTTGAAGTGTCGGCTAAGAATAGTGTCAAGTGGCATATAGACACCTTAAGTTGTCAAAATGTGGGTACTGAAATCAAGAATATTATTTTTACAGGCATTAACAATTAATATAACAGTTTAAAACTATATAAAAGTAGTAATTTAATTTTAAAAATAATAACAAGGCAAGTAAAAAATATTGTAGGACCTATTTAGTATCTGAAAAGTTATTGATGTAAAACACGATGTGTTGTGCTTGATTTATAGTCAGACGATCTATTGATCGTACGCTGTAAGAATGGTACAAGATACACAAGAAAGATGTGTGAAAGAATTATTTCTCTTTAAATTATCTAAAAAAAGTCCGCGACGCTATATTTCTATCTTTTAAGATTAGCTTGTAAGAACGACGACACGGGACGCGAGCGTGGGCAAACGATGTTCAAAATCACAATTCTACGCGGACGAAGTCGCTGACACAGCAGCATAGAATATCTAAGGGTTATTAATAGCCGATATAAATTCTAGTTGTGGTACTCAATCAATCTCAGAGTACAAACAGTAAAAGTAAAAGTATAACGAGTATAAGGAATTTTACATAAAGGCGAAATACCTGAGGA